CCTTGAAGTTATCACTTCAAGCACTTAGAAACACCTGGACACAGAATACAAAGGAATTGCAAGCGAGAAATACTTCAAACTTTTTTCAGTCCAAATAATAATTAAGATGTACATATTAAAGATACTTTATGCATCAAAAGATCAAAATGAAAATGAATGCTAAGCATTCTTTGAATGAACTTCTTTTGAAAATGTAAGTGCTAAATAATTTTAAATTAATTTAATATGTAATAAATATTGTTGTTGAAGAAGACAAAGTGAACACATGTACCATTAGTTTCACAGCATTTCACCATTACCTCAAAGAGGTTACACATTGCTTCCCACCTGACACTAACTGTAAGTAAATGGTATAATATATATCTGTGTATATATAAGTAGTGTTACTTTGTAGTTTCCAAAACAGTCAACTTTGTGAAGTGCACACACAGACTACACCTCTACCTAAGTGTGTCAAGATGCCCAAAAATAGCCAAGAGGATGGAAGAAAGGAAATAACAAGAAATGGCAAGAGAAACTGCTGCAAGATGAGCTTATAATAAGGAAAGAATAACTAGAAAAAAGAGTACAAGAGACAGCTGGTGAAACCACTGCTAGACAGAGTCAAGAGATGGAAGGAATAGCTAAAATTAGAGCACAAGAGACACCAGGTGAAACTGCTGCAAAACAAGCTTGAGATAGGGAAAGGATAGCTATAAGAAGAGTACGGGAGACAGTCGATGAAACCGATGCTAAAAAAGAAGGAAACTGTGGCTGAATGACAAGAAGAAGAGCGAAAGAATCAGTTGCAGAAATTGCTGCTAGAGGAGAACAATATAGACAATATCAAGCTCAAAGAAGGGTTGCTGCTGCTGAATGATGATCTGGAATGTATTTCAAAACAGCTTATGATTATGATCCAAATCATGATTATGAACCATAGTCTGCATATGATGTTGGAAGATCTATAGATTGTGATTTTTACAGGACAAAAAAGGTATCGCAATGAAAAGCCAGGATAATGATAATTGCAAAGTTGAATTGCAAAGTTTGAGAGAATCACCACCACCTCTTAATGTACTCTTTAATGGAAATACTGAAGAATCTAAAAACATCCTATCCAATATCTATATACATAAAGCACAAAAATCTGTGTATCTGTCTGTCTGTCTGTTCATCATCTAACTACTCTTAGGTTGTTGTGCCAATCTTAACCAAACTTTTGGGGATGATAGTTTGGAACAAGAGGCATGTTAACCCTTTCTATACAAGTCACAGGTGAAAGGCCATGTCATCTCGTTTGTTGGCTCACATTCAAAATTTTATTAAAGTACTATTTCATGAATTTATGTCAAGAAGTTTGGTATCAAACTGTAGATTATAATTC